ACTGCAACTAACAAAGCAGCTGCTTTAAAGAGAACATAAACATTTAATAACATGAAGATGAGATTGAATTTCAGCCCTCAGGAGGCAGAGGCAGGCAGATCTCCGAGTCTAGAGAGGACAGCCAGGACTACACAGGGAAACTCTGTCTCAAAAAACAAAACAACAACAAAACAAAAACCAACAAATAAAAAACCATAAAGCTGAGAAACGGCAACCAATCTAATTTCTTTTTGATGACTTTAAGGAGCACAGGTATAAAATCTACACAGCAGCAAGGAGACTATACCATCAGATAAAGAGAAAAGGGGCACCCCGGATTTTATCCTGAGCAGTGCTTCTTAAGGCTCCCGATGAACTAGTCCTACATATACTTTACCCAGACCAACAACTGAGTAAAAAAGTTGTTGTTTATTAAAGCACAAAAGTAGTTTAATATGCCACTCAGCAAAATCCTGTGTCCTTCCTCCTCAGATTTCAGAAATTCAGAGAATGGTCAACATTCTGAGAGGTATTTGGAGAAACATATCCATCAAAGGAGATTTCATCAATAAACTGGAGATTTGGGTTTGTTCTATGGAAAAACACCAATCTGACACAAAGTCAATTTCTGAAGGTGCGAGAACTGCTACTGTCTCTGCAACAATGTAGCAGATGTATTTGATTCCAATTGCCGCCAACAGGTCTTACAACTCAAGGACTCCTTTCTCACGGCAAGCTTTTGGGACCAAAACACTTTAAGCTGTGAATAAGTTTTACCATGTAAGTTATACCAAAACAACCAATGAGACCCCGTGAAAACTGCCTTTATAATTCTGGGTCAGGAAAACATGTCTTCCATTATTTCTCATGTCTACTGAGGGGCTATATGGAGTTGCTTGGTAACCAATGGTACCAATCTCATTAATTATATTCAAGGTTAACAATTTTCCCCATTATTTCTGAAGTTTTGCCTTCCCTATTGTATCCTATTTATGACCTCCTACAAGCTACCTCAAATGAGAAAAGGCCCAGCAAGATTCTCAGCAGGTAAAAACATTTGCTGCCCAGTCTGATGTGAGTTTGATCCCTGGCACCTACAAGGTGAATGAGTAAAGAGATTTCTGCAAATTATCCTCTGACTCCCCACACGCTGTGGCACACTTGTTCCTCCATAAATTAATGTAGCAAAAAATTTTTAAGTCGGGCGATGGTGGTGTACACCTTTAATCCTAGCACTCAGGAGGCAGAGGTAGGCGCAGGCGGGTATCTGTGAGTTCAAGGCCAGCCTGGTCTACAAGAGCGAGTTCCAGGACAGGCACCAAAGCTACTTGGTCTTGAAAAACCAAAATAAATAAATAAATTTTAAAAAGAGGTAATAAAATATACTTTAAAAAATTATTGTTGCTATCTTAACTTCCAAATGTCTCTAGTTTCATCTATTCCAAACAGGTACTTATTAGGCAAATGAGAAAACTGAGGCACACAAGTTATTCACTTAAGGGAATACCAATTAATAGTTGGCTTCTTGACCACCAATTATTTCAAGTCTTAATCAAACCAACAAGCCCTGTAATAAGGATACAAAACTGGGTACCATTAACGTTGAATAGTAAGATGCATACGCATTTACATATGCTATACCACAAACAAAGCAAATAATAAATAAAAGCTGACAAGAAAAAAAAGTACACTAGGATCTGATCTTATTGAGAAGCACTGAGGTCACCTACATTCTTTGACCCAGGAATGTCCTCAATTCCAGTGGGGCCTCAGGAATGGGAATGACCCACGGGTTACTTGGTTTAGAGTCAAGCTGGAATCCTCATGGGTGAAGGACTACACCATTTGAAAGAGGTCATTTTCTCACACTATCCAGTCCCATGCCAAGCTCCTGCCCACCCTCACCTTTCCCATACTTTGTCATATAATCATCACATGGAAGAGGTACAAAAGTGATCTAAGTCATAAATTAAGCTGCAATTTTGAGGAAGGATAAAATACCCCAAACCAGACTACCTAGAATTTACTACATGACCTTGACTAGTCCTTAACTGGTTCATTAACTAAATAAATGCCTTTTATCATCATTAAGGGAAGGGTAATTAGTCATCGCAATGCATTTCAATATAAGTACAAAGTAAATGCCACACAATAAAGTTCAAAGAACAAGATTAATAACATGGAGACACACATACTAGCAAATGGAAACTTACAACAGGGTCTTCCCACACTCCTGGCAGACTTGCTTATTTTAGCTAATGGGAGTCTCTAAAGTCATTAGCACTTGGCTTCACAATAATACTCATTTGTGATCTTCCTCCCAGGAAGAAGAAAGGGAAAGGGATATTAGTGCTGCTGGCATTCAGCATTTCAGTTACTGGTTAGCCAGACTGACAATTAACAATTGAGTTCTGTGTGCAAGGTACAGAGCTAGGTTTCATGGCGGTAATGGTAAACAAGAGTCCCTGCCTCTAGTTTGCAACATATAGTATAGCACAGATTTTGGTTTATCAGTATTGGCTTGCAAGAATATAGTTACACCGAAATAAAGAAAAGGAACAATAAAAATACTAGACAAAAGAAGGTAGGCTAATGGTAAGAGATGAGCTAGAAGGATCAGGCTATCAGGGTTTCCCTATTCTTTTCCTTTAACTCATCTGAGGTACTATGCTTAAGCATTCTGCTTGTAAGAACTCTAACTGCGCATTCAAATAGTGCAGATTGCAAAAGGTCACTTCTCCAACAAATCAGCGGAATGAGAGCACCCAAAACGAGGTCGACTGGATCCCTTAGGATCAAGGGATCTTCTAGAATCTTTTAAAGGCCCTACTGGTAACAATCTGGTAACAATCTCAATTTTGTGAGAAAACTAAGCTAAAGCACACAGTGACGACTTCTCTCTGCTAGACTTGTCCATTAATTCGTTTCCTGGAGGGGAAAAAGCCCTCTCAGGCACTAACAACAGCTTAACTACTTCAGGTGCAGGAATCTCAGGGCTAACCATCCTTGCAAACCTTGCTCTACTGAATTTATACCAGCCCCGAACCTCAACAAGTACTGAATATTGTTGTACTGAATATTTCAATAGCTCTGAAATGACTTTATACAAGAGGGGAATGTTTGCCCTGGTTTTTACTGGCTTCAGGAAGGTCACCTCTTGGCAAAGGTTCTTTGGTCTACTGTTAACTGGGTGCCAAGGTGTAAAGTCGAGTAATGTTTGACAGAAAGTTCTGGGGATCTCAATGCCACCGCGGAGAGGGCTAGTTAAACTCAGCCTTCTATAGATCACTTCTTCCAAGAGCAAGAGAAGCTCAACCCACAGCACAATAGGCGGAACTTGTTCTGCTTCAGCGAGTGCAGTAAAGAATGAGCAATCATTTCTTACCACCCACCTCTCCCACCCACCCAAGCTTCTTTCTGGAGGGATGTCTAAATGATTTATTCACATGACTGGGATCAACCTGCATCCATGACAGTGTCTACTGTCACCAACCCTTAAATTTCCCTTTCTCGCACACTGCCAAGCAACTGGAAGACTGGGATGCGAAAATCATTTTGACTTTCAATCTTTTGTTGCTTTTAGAGCCTTTAGCTGCATTAAAAAAAAAAAAAGAAAAGAAGCCAGTTCATACAGTTTTTCCTCTTGCCCGTAACCTATCACGCAGTTGTTAGTTAAACGGCCAACGCTCCCCAAGAGATGCCTTGAAAAAGCGCTGCCTGATTTCCCCACTCGCTAGAGGGGAAATTACCTGCACAGCCCCCATCACCTAGAGAGGTCACAGGGGTCAGCTGAGTCGTTCATCCCCTCCCAATCTCTTCCTCAAGGCCCTCCATCCAGAAAAAGTCAGCCGCAAATACAAGGCCTGGCCCTGTCGGGCTTCAGAAAGATCCAGGAGGACTCCGGTCGAGGGACAAAGAAAAGCGAGGTCAGAGCGGCCTCTTCGGCCCCAGATAGGCCCATGGCCGCTAACTGGCCACCCCCTACATCGTGTCAGTGGTCCCTAAGCACCCCAATCCTTGGCCCGAAGTCCCGAACTACCCGAGCCCGGGCCCGGGGCTTGCTCGCGCCCCTTCCGCGAGGGCCCCCGCCGCTACCCAGAGCCCCGCACCTTCTTGGGAGCCTTGGTGACTGTGGCCATGAAGGAGTACTTCTCAGCGTCCTCGATCTCCTTGGCCTGTTTCAGCTCCTCCCCGACACCGGGCAGCGGCATCGCGTCAGGCATAGACATCCCCCGGCCGGTCCGGCCCGCGGCTAACCCGCCGCCCCCGCCTCTTTCCCTCACGGGCG